AAGATACCATATTCAGAGCTGTAAGTCATGCTCCTTCTTCATCAGCTTGTGGGACAATTTTGACTGTCAAATCCAAGCACAAGGGCTTTTGGGAACTGTTTATCCTGAAGGCAAACTTTCCAAATGTTGTAATTTAAAGAACTTACTCTCATTGTATTTATAACTGTTAAATGAAGAATATTATTAAAATGAAAAAAATGCCTGTAGCAGATACTGAGTTTGAAATAGCTCTTTATTCAGTATGTTTACTTCAGTATCTCAAATGAATATGGTGACCCTGAGCAGTGGATTTTTATTTCTAGAACTCTGATTTGGTTCAAAGGTTCATAAAAGTTTGTATAACTAAATTTCTCCCAAAGTTATAAATATGAAGAGACTCAAGTGAAGATTGTTCCAGCAAGAGTCTGAACTAAGTTAAATTAAGAATTTGCCATATGGAATACCTTTTTCAATAATGAAGATGTAAATCTTTTTTGTTTCGGACTGTATTGCATTTTTGGTAGAAGGCAGTCCTTTCTATTAACAACAAGCTTATTATCAAATTCTTTGGATCATGTTATAAATTTATAAGCTTTTGAGGATTTCTTAGTACATTATATAATTATGTTTTCCTCAGGGGTTTCTTCTTCTGCACTGTGGAAGAAATATGGATATCTAAAAACATCCTTTTTTTTCTTTTGGAGTCCTTGCATTTCACTTCTTGACACCATCTCCTGCATAAAGTGTTACTGAATAGAAAGGATTATAGTTTTAGGAGAATCTTACACTTCGTGTCCCTGAAGCACAAACATAGGGGGAGAACTACAGGCATGGATAATCTACATGTCCCAGCAACTGCTGAGTGCCATCCTTCAGCATTGTAAGCTCTGAAGGTTTTAGCTATTTCATAGTTAGTCTGAGACGTATGATAAAGCTGAAAATGTGGTCTGTAGCATTTAAAAATACTGAGCAGTGCTTCCTTTGTATTTCTGTGTCAACATATCCTCACAGTCTCACAGCAAATTAGTGATATTGTTTACACTTTTTTTTTTCTTTTTTTTTGACCTCTATTATAAAGGCATTCTTAAAAACTGGTTAGTTTACTTTGCTCTGCACTCCCCAGTGTCCTCTGATAGTCTGATGTGAATTTGTTTTGATACATAAATCATTTACAAAATTAACTTCCCTACTCCTGTTTCAAAGAACTTCAGGGAGTCTGTGATCTAAATTGTCACTGTGTGCAATTTATTTACTCTGAATTTGTTTCTCTTTTTTCATGTAGTGTGTTGTGAATTTAGCACTGTGTTATGTAAATATACACCCACCTCTTTAAACATCTATGATATGACATTTATACAGTGTGGCAATAGAAACATCAGACTTATTTGTTGTTTAAGGTTGATGCTTGTCTAACTTTTATATGTTGCTCCACATGTTGGGAATGCATTATTTAATTTCAATGAAAATAACTTTTCTTAATTTGCCTTGGACAGTGCAGATTTAGTAAAAGTATTCAATAATCCTCTATTAAAAGAAGCTCTGAAAAATACTGACATTAAACAGTAAATTATTAGTGTAACACTGAGCTTTAATATGAGAAATTTGAAAGCTGTAAACAGGCATAACGTATTTGACCTTGAATGGAGTTTGGCCTCCTGTGTAGACCATAGGATTGAGTTTTGTAGCAAAAAGCTTGTTCTTTCTTTTTTGCTAGCATCATTCAGCCTTGCAGTGGGAAGTAGTAACTTGAACATGATTATTATAACAGAGGGTATATGTATATCTGTATACACAGCAGCAGCAGCAAAAGGTATATGTGTGTGCTTTATATTTTGCTATTTAGTTGTTGTCTCCTCTGATTTTCCTTTCCTGCTCTCTGAATAGTAAATATACATAGCCAAACAAGCAAGCATTCACAAATATCACAATATTTTCAAATTTAAAAATGAACAATCACATATTTTAGGTTGCATAATTCCAGGTGTACAAAATGTACATGAATTCCTTAATTCTTATGTATTTTCAGAACATTCTATTTTAATTGTTATTCACAGCCTAATTTGTAAAACCATATTTGTTCCAGAATGCTTGGTATTCACATATTTCACTGTTTGATTATGGAGACACAGAACTGTTTGGAAATTAACCTCTTAAATGTGATTTGAAATGTTAATATTTTTAGGAAATAGAAATGTTTGTACTGGATCTGTGGGCCTGTGCAGCTTTTGATGGTTTCTACCTTCCATTAAGGAGTTTTCACCTCCTAAATCTCATATATGACAGCTGAAGGTGTTACCACTTCCAAATATTATTTTTCTTAAAAACAATTGGCATCACTGAGATCAAGGGAAGTTGATAGGGATTTTCCATATCTGCAGACATCACACATTCCACTTAACATTACCAAGAAACTTATTTCTCTGTAGCATATTAAGATTTTTTTCTGCTGACAAGTGAATATGTTCTCAAGTATATATTGCATAATGACATCTTAAAGTTAAAACATGCAAGGTGATTAAATAATATTTTCTTCTATGAAAATTGTAAGATCAAATTTTAATGTCTAACTTAACATTCTTCTCTTCTCATTTTTTAAAAACTGAATCAGTACTTAAAGCATCATTTTTCTTCAATTGCCTTTCTGCATGTAGTATTCTTATGGAAATCTGTGAGGGTGATAGGTAAAAAACAAAAAAAGGACAGAAGTGTTGCTTTTTCAGTAGTTGTGCAGCTTCAAAAGATACTATAAAACACTGTTGGCTTAATGTATATTTGGAATATATCTGGTAACTGAAATGTTCGGCTGTGTTTTCGACATACTGTTTTCTTCAGAAAGCTGCATAGCATTTGTGGGATTTGATATTAGGTATCTCTTCTCCACTTAAGCTGTTTACTATTCATCTGTATCATAAGTGCTCTAATACCTGGGTCTCTTTATAGCTCTTTGATTGTTTTCATGATTTGACTGTCAGCATTTACAGGCTATTCATAAGAATCAGATGCACTTGAGCCTCATTGTGTGTGTTTCTTTTTCTTATTTCAAAACCATTTGTGTTTCTGTAATGCTATTGCATTGGAGGTAAGAACTACACCTGGGGTAGATATAAAGCACAATGGAGTTAAAAATGGGTCCACAAATGCTAGAATTTTGCCTTGGTTTTGTTTTGTATTGTGGTTAACCTTTCTTTCTTTTAGGCTAATAGGGCCAGCTGAACTAGAAAAACCATTAGCTTATGGTCATTGTTTTCTTAACAACAGACTGGAGCATATTTCTGAGAAACAAACTTAATATATTGGCAGGAAGTTGTAGAGTGTGTTTTCTGTCTCTAAAGCACATATACAAAGGGTTCAGACTTTTGTTTATAAACTTTAAAAAGATGAAGAGGCAAAAAGAGCAATGCAAATGAGGATTTTTTTGGCTCTTTATATGCTGTATAGCATATTGGAAATACTTTCCTAACCTTGAGGAGGACACTCTTTGGATATTTCTCCTTCTCAGTCCTTCAATTGCTATTGGATTTTGAGTAATCTACTACTGTGTACTGAACAGCTACATGTAAATTCAGATCACAGCTCTAATACTGGGTCAGTCCCCTCTCACTCCTGAGTTTGTGTGCTCTTTGAATTACGGGATTTTTTTTTTTTCTTTCTTCCCTGGCATTATCTTATTTCCTGCTTCTTGCACACCCCTGCTCCCTACTAGGGACTAATATTATTTATTTAGTAAGGATTCTGGAAAAATATTTACTAAACAGTGTGAAACGTTTGGTTACTTTTGATCTTGGATGGTAAGCTGAAGCCCCTTGATCATGCAAGGACTTACATGTGTACTTAATTTTCAGCAAATAATAGGCTTCACCTGGCTGTCTGGAAATATTCTGGTGTTTGTAGGCTGCTACTTTTTTCTTTTTGAAAGTGTGGCTGAGCATTTAAACATGCTCAGCCTATCTATATAGCAGCTAGTTCAGGTATTGCTAGCAGTACAATTACAGTTGAACTAATTTTCAACGATTTAGATAATTTTTTGAATGGTTTTGTAGCCAGCATTGATCTATATTAGTACCTAAAGTTACAGTTTGGAGGAAAGATTGGATATTTCTACTGAAGCTATAATCTTGTCCTAGCTGGAGCAGGGGTATGCTTAAAATAAAACTAAGCGTTGTGCCTTAAAAAATAGTTTAAGTTTGTAATGTAAATTTCCATCCTGAAAACAGTTTCTTTTTTTCCCCCTCAATTTTATTAACTCTGAATAATTAATTGATCTTGAAGGGAAAAGGCTTAATTGGTAGAAAGTCTTTTTTTATATATATATAAGAAATACTCAGGAATAAATATCTTAGTAAATAATATGTGAAAATTCAGTTTTGTATGCAGTTTTTAAAAAATAGATGAAGAAAATCTTTTTGGCTTGTCCAAAATTATATTTCACTTCATAGTGGCTTGTGGAGTCCTTTGCTTAAATGGCATATATCTTTTATTTTTAGTGGCTATTAGCAGCTCTGAAAGCAAGACTTTTTTTTCTTTTAATGGAATTTTAACAAGTTTTGTTAATGACATACTAAAGTTAACTTTATATTTTATTATTTCAGTTGTTCATGGTGGACAATGGAGCAGATGACTGGAGAATAGCCATGACTTATGAGCGTATTTTCTTTATCTGCTTGGAAATACTGGTGTGTGCTATACATCCCATACCTGGGAACTATACATTCACATGGACAGCCCGGCTCGCCTTTTCTTACGCTCCATCCACAACAACAGCTGATGTGGATATTATTTTATCTATACCAATGTTCTTAAGACTATATCTCATTGCCAGAGTTATGCTGTTGCATAGCAAACTTTTCACTGATGCCTCATCTAGAAGCATTGGAGCATTAAATAAGATAAACTTCAATACACGTTTTGTTATGAAGACTTTAATGACAATATGTCCAGGAACTGTACTGTTGGTTTTTAGTATCTCATTATGGATAATTGCTGCATGGACTGTCCGAGCTTGTGAAAGGTAAGGTTTTTCTGTTTGGTTGGTTCCCTTTCCTTCTATTTGTCTCTCTTATTTTCTGTTTTGGTTTTATCTTCAGGAGGACCCAAATGTTTACTGGAAAGGTGTTTGCAGGCCCTTGATGTGTGAAATGTTAGGTGCATTGCCCTGATTGTCAGGAGTGCTTTGTCTTTTAATCTGAAGAACTTTTGTAGAAAACATTGTGCCACAATGTTTACTGTAGCATTGCAATTTGATTTTGATGTTTTGATCAAACTTATATACATATTTGCTATAATAGGGACAAATGCTATAAAATGTCTTTAACGGTACTTGTTGATGTTCTACATTAATATCAGCTTTCATTTGTGTTGTTTGTGAGCCAAAGACCTTCTTCAACATGTTTAGGAGATTCAACTGTTGGTTGTTATCATTTTCTTTTTCCATTTCTTTTCCTTGCGCTTTTTAGAAAAAGTTCAGAGGAGTTATTTGTGACTGTTAGTTGATTTAGGCCAGCACTTAGAATTCAAGCCAACTATTATGGTCAGGTTACTTCTTGAAGTTATCAGTTGCCTTACCTCTCTAGTTGTTACAAATTAAAATAGTTGACCTTATAAACTGATTAAGGATATCATCTTGACCTTGCTACTTTTAATTTCCCCCAAGTTGTGAAATATGGTTTATTATAGTAAATGTCTTGTATCAGTGTAGTTGCCTTGTGCAGTTCCATTATGGCAAGGCCGTTTGATTTCTAAACATACCACATTAACATATTTCACTTTCAAAATACTGCCTGCCCATTGTTGGGGCAGGCGGAACATTTCAGATGTTAAATTACTCTAATAGTGCTAAAGCTGTTCTCTTTGTCTCATATTTTTGACTGCTGTTCTCACCAGTTTTCTTTCAACAACCTGGAGCTGTGTAGGAATTTCCCAAGTTGTCACTTTTTAAGTAGTTCTGTGGTAGTTCAGCATCCACTGTCATCACTACACATCCTTGGGAGGAAGCTTAGTTGTGCAGTCAGGTACACTGAACTGTGAATTACGATCAGGACTGACCTTTGCTGAACTACTGGCAGATACTGCACATTTCAAATTGCAATAGCTGCTCTTGAAGTGACTGTAAGGTTTGGGATGACAAGCTGAATAACCACTGACTTTTAAAAACAAAATTAAACTAAAAATAAGTTAAAAACAGACTTGAGTGCTGGATTAATGTATCCCAAGTATAATTATCTTCTTCAGTGGAGTTCAGTCGAAGATCATGCACCTTAACATTTAACAGATGAATTTTGCATTTCAAAAACACTAAAAGGAGTAGTTGTTGTCTTTGAGAGTTAATTGGACACCCAGTTTTATGCATATTTTGCCTCAGCTTTTCCCTAGAGGGAATATATAAATATTCTGCTGAGTGGAAGATTTTGGTTCTAGCTCCTATTTACTAATTAGTCTACTGAAAACTTTTACCCCGCAAAGAAGTACATGTAACATTCCTCTTCACACACATATGCACAAAACCCCATGCCCTTGTGCAATTCAAGGCTTTTGTCATTCTGCACTTTGAAGTGCTCTAAATAAATACCCCATTTTATATTGGGATAGATAGATATAATGGCCATTTTTTCACGGAAAAGGCCTTGATTCTGAGCTGTGTAGGACAGAGTGCTCAGTCTCTTGGGATCTTAAGGGATTTGTTTTGCTCTAGTTCACAGAAATTAAATATACTTCTTTCATTTGTGCTTAAAGTGATTTTATTTTTAATTTTAAATAGAGGAAATGTTTATTTGATGGAATAGGCCATTTTATATACACAAAATAATTTTTTAAAAAGTTACCTTTAGAAAGAGTTCTACCTAACAGTATACATACATGAAATCCTAAGGTATTTTGCTACATTTGGCAGAAATTAGGATTTAGTCAGCAGCTTGGAGACTTTTTTGATGAGTAGGAATTTACATCAATGAAACTTAATGGTCTTAAATCCAAGCAGTTCTTATAATCATTCTAGCACCAAGCTCATTAAGAAGAATCATATAGAGGTCTTACACAGGGCTTTGCATTAGTGTTTTTTAGTATTAGTGCTTGTTATTAAAACAGTTTGCTAGCTATCCGAATTAGAAGGAAATGATGGAGATAAGATTTAATAGATTAAAATATTATAATTATGGAACGGGGAAACTGTGGATTCTCAGCAAAGGCCATTGCTGATCTTTACAGTTGCTGCTCAGGCTGCTGAGACAGCCTGACTTTGAAAACTGTTGGGCTATTTGAAGTCAGGAGGTGTTCCACTAAAATCACCCTGCTGTTGTGTGAATGGAAAGAGCTTTGGAAGTGTAATCTTTGTAGAGAACAAAGTGATGCAAAGAAGCATCGTTATGCATTTCTCCTCAGCAAGCTGTGCAGAAACAGGCTATGTTGGCAGAGCAGGTCACTCCCGTGTTGTGCTGAATGCAGCCTTGCTGAATGTACACTGAACTAAGGCAGGACATGCGTCTTTCTCAGTGCCTTAATGGCTTTACTGTTAGCTCCCAGAAAGCTAATTATAGCCCGTGACACTTTATGTTGGTGAGCAGGGTATTTTCCAGGACTGCAGTTTAAGGTCATCTGTGAGAGTAGACTGGTGCGGACACTGGCAGCCAGCGTACGCAGAGTACAGGCAGGTTGTTAAGGCTTGACAGCCGTTTGGCCAAGGGAGCTTGCAAGGAAAAGGTGGAGAAAGCACTGAAGGGTTTCTGTATACACAGTGCCAGAACCTCTTGGTTTTTTAATATTGTGGCTTTTATGTCTATTTTGAGGGAAGATTACATAGGTTTGAATAGCAGCCTTTTAACTGCCAGACTCAGTATATTGCTGTCAATCATATATGGGCTTCATATTGAAAGTAAATTTTTTATTAGGCCTAACTCAATAGAAGTTTGCCTTCGTAACATCTCTGAGGGACATGATTAAGAACAGGTGTGAATATGTTTCTTCTGTGCATGAATCATGAGCCTTCTAAGTGGATTCCTTATTGTGGTCTCTCATAATGATCTTGTTGCTGAAATAGCTCTGTGCATGGCAATTTATAGGTTTTTAGCAGATAAAATAGAAACTACTTCCAAAAAAAGTTCACACAATGTGCATAGTATTATGTCATTTAAAAGCCTGACAGACTTGTCTCAGCAGTGAGGAGTAGTATGCCTTCCCAGATTGTATAGGGGAGAGGTGTTTTCTTCCTTTTTCTAAGCAAAGGAAAAAAAACCTAGCATTCTGGATGCAAACATGGGCCTCATACATGGGGTATCAGGTCAACATGAGCCACATTTGCCCACACTATGCTGTAGTGTGTCCAGAACAGCTCACATCACATGCCTGGATTTACTGTGGATTTACAGAAGCAGAACTGAGAACAGAGCTGGATTTTTTGCTTCCCCAGAGATCACATTTTTGGCACCAGTTTTAGTTCTGTTTGTACTTCTGTCTAGCTTTTGGCAGTGAAGTCTGTTCAGATTGAGCAGTTTGTTTAGTCAGCGTTTTTTGTCCATTCAGTTTCTGCCCTGTATTTTTCCTTAATTTAAAGAACAAACAAACAAAAAAACAACCTCTGTGTGTGAAGGTGAAATCCTTCAATGCTCAGTGTTCGCTTGTGTTTTCTACAAATAAATTTATCGTAACTTTTAGAAATATAATGCCATCTCAAAGCTTTCAATAAGCAGCTCACAGATGACAGCTGCTAGGCAAATGCTAAGGATTCATTTGATAAAAGCAGATGGATGCAGCAAGATTCTCAGTTGTAACTCATGCAGGAAAAAAAAAAAAAAAAAAAACGTTTCCCTAGCTATCTAATTTCCTCATGTTAATGTGTTTGGCTTCTTTGATTGACTTGAGGATCTTGTCTGAAATTGTTAAACTGCATGAAAATTCCCACACTGAAAAGTGTCTTCAGTCTCTGCAATGCCAGTTTGGAGATTTATAGTAGCAGTTTTAGAAAGCCAAGTTTAGATATTTAATTTTAAGCCTATTTTAGCCCACAAATCTTCCTTTTCTAGCTGTTACAGACAAAATAATGTTTGTGTATGGACAATACTGCACACTTATCACCATTCTTTAATTTTGCTTGGTGTGGCTGAAACCAAAATCTCCTACATGCAGTCAGATTTCTCCAGTGGTTGTAAAGGTTGTAACTGCCAAATGTCCAACACCACAGTGATCAAATATGCCCTAATGTCGCCTTGGCTTGAACCTGTGCTACAAATGATCAAACACCTCTTTGCTTTCCAGTTTCCTTACAGTTCTTGATTTTGCAAAGTCAATGTAGATTAACTGTAAATATTATGTCATTCTTTTATAATATGTATACCACAAAACAATTAATAAATAAAGTCAGATGTAACTGTTTGAATTTATCCTTTTTGACTGAAAATTTACCAATAGACATCTGGTATTTTATGAAATAATAAAAGCAGCAAGGGAGTCCATTGCAGAAGTATGTCGGTATATATAAGATATATCGACAGACTGAAGAGGTTAGTGGATCCACATAAAAAAATTGGCTTCCTTGGTAGATCCTGAAGCAGCAATAGTCAAATGCTATATTCTCCTACAGCTGCTTGAGGACAGAGAAGAGTTTATGTAGATTTAATAGAGAACACAGGGGAACACCTTTCCTAAGGCTTATAGATTTTGATTGTCATTCTTTTGGATTCACATATTCCTTCAGCACACTGCTAGTAGTAAGATTTGTTAAGGATTTGAGGAATAAAAGCCAGAATGCTTTTGCACTTTGCATTATATTCTTCAGGGTTTCTTTTTGGATTTACAGATTTAGCCTTTTAACTGTGGAAAGTGAAAATAACTGGAGCAGTAAGTCAGTGGGCATAGTCATCCTTTAACTGAAATGAATCAATACAAGATAGTTCAGCATTTCTGTAGTCTAAAAATAACAGACCAAGCTTAGAGGAGGGCAGTGTGAAAGGTAAAGGGAAAAACAAAACAAAACAAAAACACAGTCGCAAGCCAAACAAACCACAAGCCCCCATGATGTAG